TCACCGGTGGGTCGCTGCTGATTTATGCTGTGTTATGCTGGGAATGAACAGGGTAAATCAGGACAGGGCAAATTTCTGCTCACGAGAGGCAGTTTGCGGGTGGGAGTCGTGCTGGTGGCGTGACAAGAGAAGAGCAGGGGCTGCCTGGGTCTCCCTGCCGCTGCTCCCGGCGATGCGGCGCTGGGAGGAGCAGGGTGGACCTGACTGCTCCTGCAATCTCTCGCCTTGCCACCAGCTCAGACCGGGCCCTTGGCAGGTCATTTCATCTCCCTGTGATTAATGTTCCCTGTCTAGAACGGGAGTAATAATACGGGCTTCATCTGTCGGGACCGCGTGCTCCCGGGGCAGGGATGGCCCTGCTGGCTGGGGGTCTGGACAGGGGCCAGGAGGATGAGCTTGTGATGTGACTGAGGTCCTTTGCCATGGATGTCACCGCTAATTAAAGCGGTGAGATTAGCTGCTGTGTTTTTCAGAAGCACAGGAGGGAAAGCCAAAATCACGTTTCCCAAATGGAAAAAGGACAATGCTAGGGTATGAGCAAGTTCTTTTGAAGCTTTGAACATGAATCACAGTGTCAAGTAAAAAATAATTAAACGTATTTTTTTTTTTAAATGTACTTCAAAGTGTCTTTTAAGCTTCCCATTAATTCGAAGTTCTTTCTCTCAGTGCTAAATAAATCTCTTGGTTCAAAAGCACAAGTGCTAATTGGTTTCTCTGAGTATGCCTGTCTGCTTGATCAATAGGGGAAGCAGTTTTTGTTAAATATTTGCACATATAGTCACATATTGTATTGCTCAGGGAGATGGTAAATGTTTCTCAAAAGGCGACTTGTAGAATGAGGATTCCAATAATTTCCTTGTGGCCTTTATGTCAGAGCTAATAACGCTTCCTCCTCCGTCCTTTTGCAGAAAGCAAAGCAATTTTCCCTTGTGCACTGCCCAGCGCAGCCTGCCGGCGTTGAGCCAAGCGGTCTGTCCAGCTGCCGGCGTAACACCCCTGCCTCCGACGACAAACTTATGGAGAGGGACGGGGCTTTCAGACTCCCCGAGTGAATATGCACAGCCTCGGTGATTTCCTCTTGGTCTCTCCCAATTAATTGCACTTCTACTGTTTCCATGTGCCTTCGGAGTGTCGTTTACTTCCAACTTTGCAGCATCGTTTCCGTGCCTCGCTGCTAACTACAATTGGTTATTTATGCTAACGGAGTTGGGTCCCTTTCTTCCCCCGTTCCCTCCTTGCTTTGTATTTGCTCTAGAGCAAATGCCAGGAGGCTTCTCGTCCCGCCATGGAGATTGTGCTGTGAGTGCCCCTGTCCCTTCGTCACCCATCCTGAGCATCCCTGGGAGGCAGGGCTCTGCGTTCAGAGCCTGCCCTTGAGACCTGGAGCCCCACAGTGCCAATCTTGGAAGGCCAAATCATAACATCCCTGTTTGAAGCCCGATCCTTGAAAACCACTTTTAATGCAAATAATTCCATGGTTACAGCCAAACGGATAAAGGGGGGGTCTGTAGAAGGGGACGAAGAAGTTGTAAGGCACCCAGTTTCTGCTGTGCCTTGCAAGTGGCTCTCTTGGGAGCAGCAGTGCGCTGGCCATGTGGATCTTAGGTTGGGCTGTTTGTGGACCAGTTTTTCATACCCATTCCTGGTGGTGTGCACTATCCCAGGCCCTCGTTCTTTTTTGAGAATGCTTCCAGGAACACGGTGCCCTGTAGAAGCACAGCATTGAGAAGGATGTCCTTCTCACCGAGCCCTCTCTGTGCCCCCAGTTAGGCCATGGGGCTGAGGGCCGTAGGGAATAGTGCTGGCTTCAAAGTGACCTTTGGCTGGGGAAGAGCCCGTGGTTGCTTCCTCAGAGCTTGGTGCCTGCTGGGGACCTGCTGGGCTGCAGTGCCACGGTGGTGCAGAAGCATGCTCAGGTCAGCTTGCCAGCTTGGCTCTTGCCGGCCATGCCACCAGTGACTTAACCTATTTGTGGGACTCAGGCATTTGCCCCCTGGAAGACAGAGCCTGTGTTTTTTGCAGAGTGGGATACTGAGGCCCTAAGCTCATTTTTTTTTTTTAAGGGAATTTCGGATCTATCTATTTAACAATGTGCACAGGCAACTCTAGGATGCCTAATGTGTCCGTGGTGCCGGGGAAAGGCATATGCCTGTCTGCATCTTTCAGCATCTCAGTATCTGGGGGAAAGACAGACTGTCTGAGTTGGCATGGGAAGACCATGTTGGGGTGAAAGATAGAGCTTGGCTTCTCCCAAATCCCCAGATGGGGTGGGCTTGCTTCTCCCCATGCATCTGCTTTTTTTTTTTTTGTCGCCTGGCCCTGAAGCCCCAGGAAAGTGGCAGTGGGATTTCTTCCAAGGTCAGAAAAGCATCCGTTGAGGAGGAATTTGGGTGCTTCTGGACACTGCGAAGTGTCCACAGGTTACAAATGAGTTGCACGCTGTCCATCGCACAGTGTCACACCTTGAGGCACAATCCCCCTCTTGACTGCAGCCCGAGGAGACCCCAGGACCAGCCAGTGTCCGTCCCCACCCCGGCATGCATCGGAGGGCGCTGGTCCTAATTATGAGTGTCACCACTTCTGCTGCTCGAGCAGCCTGGAGTTAGGATGCAGACCGAATGTTTATGGAGGTAAACATGATTATCTCCAATCACAGGCCTTAATGATGGTTATTATAATGACAGCTATTGTGGGAAGGGCATGTAATTATGTTGATTCTTCCTTTTATTGTACGTATAATAATAAGCTGTTTTATCTAAGAGTACAGGGGAGCTGGGGGAAGATGGGGCATTTATTTCATTAGGGATTTTTTTTTTCTGGTTGCCTGTTAGGCTAAATCCTGAAATCTTGCTCAATCTTGCCGAAGTCAGAAGTCCCCCTTGGTTCAGCGGGGGAGTCAGGCCGCCAGGGTCCTTATCCCACTGAAATCCCAGGAGCACCCATGCAGGGAATGGGGCCCCGGCGTGGTAGGTGCTGTTGAGACTCTGGCCACTTTGCAGAAAAATGCAGAGCATTCATCTAGTTCCTTCATTTTCACAAAAAAAAAAAAAAAAAAAAAAAAGTAATTGATGGGTTTGTGCTGGCTGTAGTCTAACTTGCGGAGAGGACCCCAGGGCTATCTCATAAAAAAGAAGTCACGGTGAGCGATAGATCACTGAGATGGCTGGAGCTAGCCTGACATTTTAAGACTTAATGGGTTAATAAAGTGTGTGTTTTAGGTGTCTGTCACTAAGTAGAGTTTGTCCGTTCCCTGCACACCCTCATACCTTGACAGCAGTACCTTTGACCCGCCGTGCGCTGCCCCTGCCGCCTTTGTCTGCTCCGTCCATCTGCCTCGGCTCAGGTTGCACTCAATGTTTATCCCCCGTAATCCAATTTAAGTTGCTGTAGAAAGCAATGGGGATTTACAGAAAGAAAGAAAAAAAAATCTCACTGGGTTTGCCGAGTAGAAGAGACAGGCTTTTTTTTTCCCCTCTTCTTTTGCTGGGGGATAACTGCCTTTCTCATCTCTCTTGGTTTTGCCATGCATTAACGATCTGCCCTCCGCTCTGTTTTTGAGCCTGGTGCGGTGGGATCTGTGTCAGGGATGGGCAGTACAAAGACTGTGCTGTGGCCGGTGTTTGCCAGGAGAAATTGCCCACGTGCATCCCAATTCTGTGAGCAGCTGTGGAGTCGGTCCCCCTGCGCCCGTGAAAGAGGGGAGAAGCTGTATCGCAGGTTTGAGCGGCTGGAAACCTCCACCCATCAAGGGGCTGTTGCACAGGGGAGTTGTTAGAAAGGTTTTCTCTGTATTTGGGTGAAATTGTAGTTTTCTTACGCTGTTGGAATTTCTTCTCCGTTGCTCTTCTTTAAAATAAAAAAATAATAAAAAAATTCACCTCCACCCCTGCATTTATACCCTTCAAATGTTTATATGGCTCCTGTTTCTTCGTCGTTTTTTGCCTTTTGGGTCAGCGTGCATTTTGGGCTAATCTTTAAACAATAGCTCTATTTCCGTCATCTTCTGTAGTGTCTAATAAGGACTGTATAGCAAATTATACCCTAAAAAGGTGTGCTGGACCAAGTGAAGCATAACACGCCAAAGACATAGTGTTTAAATGTTCTGTTGGCAAAAGAAGTAAATTAGTATGTATCTGTATGAGGGGAAGCAAGGGTTTGCCTATTGTCGGTACAAATTCTGCAGTAACTTATCTCTGATGGACCTCGTTTAGCGTAATTGCTTTGCAAGAAACCTTTTGTGTCGATGAGCCAGAACATTGTGCATTTGTATTTCGGTGCTTAACTTGCTCTTCATTAAGGACTGAATAGCACCATCCTTTGCCTGTTACAGCGTGAGAGAGACCCAACGCCACAGAAGGGCACGGTGTTGCATGCGAGAGGCAAACAGCCTCCCGCCCTGCCAAGCGGGGGAAGCGTCGTGAAGATGCTGGTGGCAATATGGTCTGAAAGGGGAGCTGCTGATCCCCCTCTTCACCCCCACCAGCTGTGCTGCAAACGGGTCTGGGGCACGGCGCAGCCCCCTCCCTGCCTGGTTCCTTGGGGGAGAGGAGCAGATTTCTTAAACTGGTGTAAACTTCTGCTCCTAGGGCGGGAATGGCTGATGGGAAGTAAGCGCTGCCCCACGCTTGTGCAAGTTTTTGTTCTGTATTGCTCTTTCCTTGCAAAGGGAGGTGAAGAGGCAGTCTTCGGTGGGGTATGAGGTGGAGCTGGGGTTTGGCAAGCCACCAGAGGGGTGCGCCTGCCCATCCCCTTTGCTGGAGTCTCCAAATGCAGCCTCGAAGGTCTGTGCCTTTGGAAACTGCACTCCGAGATTTTGACAGCAAAGCCTTGGGAGGCAAAGCATGCCCAAGGGTTTCGTGTTTCTCTGAAACACTTACACCCTGTAGCCCTGTTGTAGCCCACTCTATCCAAAATGTTTTCATCATCCCCCGTTTGCTGCCGTAGCTCTTGCTGCTTCTTGTGGACACACTGCTGACTCTGTCCTTCCCTCTTCATTTTAGATTTTGGCCATTCCTCTGAACTGGCATTTGTTGTGGAGCCTAGCGATGACATAGCTGTGCAGGAGCAACCCTTGATCCTCTACTGCCAGGTGGAGGGCATCCAGCCCATCACTATCACGTGGCGGAAGAATGGCGTGATGATCGTGGACAGCGAGAATGCCTTCATGTTGGCCAACGGGTCGCTCTACGTCTCCCGCTTCCAGAGGGTTCGGGGAGATGGGTCCTCCGATGAAGGCGAGTACGACTGCATGGCGCAAAACCACTACGGGCTGGTGGTGAGCCGGAAGGCGAAGATTCAGGCAGCGAGTAAGTTTATGGGCATCGTCCCACCTGCACCTCATGGGGCAATCCCACACAGGGCCCTGGCTTTGCTGGGAAGTGGGAGGGCAGCGTGGAGGGTGCTGGGTGTTCAGGGAGGGAGGATTAAAGAGGGCAAAGAGAAAAAAAGAACGTGGAGCTGATGTAGGGATCTGGCTGGCATCTAATCTCTGTAGCTGTCCAGGTGTGAAAGAAGAGCTAATCAGCCTTCTCAGGGGGAGAAAACTAAAAGCCACCTTCTAGCAGTAAATTCCCCGTCTCGGAGGTGTAAGTTATGTTGAAGTCATGCAGTGAAATAGTCCGTGGTTTGTGTATCTCCTGCGGTGGGTTTGGAAGCCCCTCTGCTTTGCAGCACGTCTGGGCTCTGCTTGGCAGGCAACGCTTTCCAAACCATAGCAAAGACCTTCTGAAGGTCATGGTTTCTTTCATTTTGTTACTTAAGGCAGGCAGTGTGGAGGCAGCAAGGTCTTATTTACTACCCAGCGTGGCAGTGCCTTTGGGGGCAAGGCTAACAACACCAGACAGATTGTCTGGTGGGGGAGCCTGGAGGAGGACAGAGATGAAAATGTCAGTGAGGAAATGAAATTTAAGGGTGGGGGAGGAAGAATTACAGGGCAGGCTGTGACTCCAGCCCTGCACAGTATCAGGCTTAGCCCGTTGCATTGCCATGGCCATGGCCAGAGCGGTTGGTCCTGTTGGGTCTCCTGCCACACAGGCTGCTGGGTTCCCTCTTGCCAGCTCTGTTTGTTGGTGTGTATTTGTCCTGGGACTGATGGCAGAGCTGAGGTGTCGTGGTGGCTTCTGTCCCTGTTGTGTTGGTGGCCAGCTTTGCCCACAGGCTTTCTGTGGGCTCGGGGGGTGCAGCTGCTAATCCTTTTTGCTTTCAACCAGAAGTCGCTGCTGGGTACAATTTATATACGGGTGTGAGGATGGGTGTCTGGTACAGCCCCGAGACCTGGCCAAATGCTGGCTTGTTAAATAAGCTTTACTGAAGGGTTCTCCAACTTGTCTGGGATGGCTACCACTCTTCTTTCTGTGCAAGCCACTTACTACCACTTCTGTTGCATTTGCAAATAGCACCGTGATTTTTTTTTTGGTGCAAAGCAGGATAAGTCTACGGCAAAGTCTGGGGCCAGAGTCTCCTGGCTGTGCTCCCCGAACTGGGGGGCCTTTTGGCGCGCTGCCGCCCGCTCCCCGCAGCGCCGGGGCCGGCTGGCAGCCCACCAAGGGAACACTCCAGCCCTTGTGTATAACAATCCCCAAGTGCATGAAGTGGCCATCTGCAAACCTAGCTTTTCAGCAGTGTAAGAAGTGACATTGTCCAGGAGCCAAGGGCTTTGGGTCCATGCCAGATTAGCAGCTGGATCTCAAACTTGTCAGTCTTGTGGTGCTAAACCTTGGAGCACTTTGGGTGAACGGCTCTGGCATTTATGAGCGGGGAGCTGGCTGACGCACAAGCACAATGTCAAACTTCTTGGACCTGTAAACAGGAGACGTGAGAGCTGGAGGAATTACCTTTGGGACAGTGGATTGTCAATAAACACTGTTATCTCGGTTCCTGCATCAATATGTATGTGATGTGCTGTGTGTCCCTGAGTAGCATTTCCTTTTGTAGCTGTAGTTTCATGTGAATCAAAATTAAAAAGAGATCGTGTTGAAAACGCTCTAGACTCTGTTCTGGCTTCAGGCTTGGTTTCTTGCCAGCCCTGAGAAAAGGTCTGGGTGAAGCCAGCACAAAACGTGGAGCACCTGGCCTCAATGCCACAGGTGCCTGTGGATAATGGGAATAAAACGGGATGTTGTGGGCGAATGTAACCTGCTGCTCAGGGCGAGCTGCCCCGCTGTGCCTGAACCGCAGGAGCATGCGCTTGCGCTTAGGACTGGGCTTAAACATAGATGAAATCTCCTAAGAATGAATCACAGTTGTGCCCTCGAGCCCCCATGTCTCAGGGTGGTTACACAGAAGTAATAGTGATTTTCCTTGCCCCGAGTCCCAATAAGCGAATGAAAAGAGGAGGGGGGTAATTATCCCCATTTTAGAGGTGAGGGGACCATTCCATCGAAGAAATGGGTGCTGGCTGCCTGGAAGGAAAGAAAAACCCAACGCTAAGCAGACCTTTGCGAAGCAGAGTAAATACTGCCGGTGGGTAAAACCTCGTCCCCGTGCTGATCTCTTCTTCCCTCTGAGCCTGACATCTGAACACAAAAGCGAAGGAGAAATAAAAACCTTTCACAAACAAAAATCTTGAAAGTTGATCAAGGCTGTGCTACTGAGGAATAAAAGGGATCTGACAGACCGGAGCCCCTCGAGAGCTCTGCTGCACTTTTCGCTGTCTTCAAAGGCAGGCTGTTAGTCTCATATCACCGTTACAGACCCTGGCTTTGTATTATTGCTTGGAATATAATCTTCTTGGCTCAGAGGAATGTACATATTTGCATTCAGGAAATGTGGGCTGGATATCATATTTTTATGTTTCAAATTTACTTCAACACTTGGCATTGAGTAAAATTTAACTGGAAGAATATGCTGCTCTCGCCCACTGTGCATGTGGCCCCGACGGGCTCGAGGTGCAGGCAGTTTCCCCGCGGAGCGGGCACTTCTTAAAACCTTCCTCCTAAATAAATTTATTTATCTAAAATTCAGGGGGATTTCTGGATGTCATCACTATTAACCAAGGGTGCTCAGTGGAGGGAAGCGGACCTTGGCTGGTTTGCAGATTGGCAGGTCAGGTGCTAAACACATTGATAATATTTTTGTAGCATAACCTCCTTTTGAACAAGTACAAGTGTGCAAGAAACCTACACGTGACTGAGTTGAGCGGAGGCCCTTGGCATTTCCACCCGCTGCCTAACACGCCGGCTGGAATTTTTTCGGTTGCTGTTTCTGTGTCTGTTCGAACCCTGGTGTGTTAGTTTAAAAGGTTGTGGAATGCAACATGTTTTTATAATTGGATCAGGTTCTTGAATACAGATCTTTTCTTTCTCCTAATGATGGTTTCATAATTTTGCTTGACTCCAGGCTGTCTTAATTAAAATGGGTTTCGTAGGCAGAGTGCTCTCTGGAGGCACTGCTTGGCTGGGTCTTCGCGGGTCTCTTTGAGGAGCTGTATTTCCCTTGTGCGTGCCAGAAGCTGATGCACACCTTTGCTGTTGGTAGATGAAGATAACCTCTGAACAGTAGTACAGTCCGCTCCTTCGGAAGGTGAGCTCCCCAAAATGCAGCCGCCTTTCTTCTCACCAACCCCCCTTTGCTTAACTTGACCTTACTTGACTCTGATTGTGTTGTCTCATGGCATTTCCAGCCCTTTTTGCCGATGCTGTAATCTGATGGAGCTGGCTCCACATCATCATAAATCACAGCCCGGCTGGTGGAGTAAGACCCATTGATTATATCACTCAATAACAAGCAGTTACCACTAATTGGAAATCACCATCAAACTGGGTATCGGATCAGGCTCTGCACGTATCCGGCTTGAGAGTAGCAATTTTCCCTGTTTGATCTGATGCTATAAAAATTAGGAAAGAGGGAAAGTAAGTCAATCAAGCAACTTGGAGCCAAAGAGGTTTCTTGAAGCTTGGTGGAATGGACCTACCCAATATTTGAAGTACTGTGGGACCTGAGAATAGCTCTGGAGGTATCTGGGCTTGTAACGGTGCTTTCCTGGTCGTGTCTTGCTGCGGGGGGACTGTATTTGTAGCCAAGCTTAGCACCACATGGCCCTTCTCTGCTCCCTTACCCCCTTCCCTTCTGCATCCCGCTGCAAATCCCACTCCTCCATCCCACTGTGCCTGGCTGTCCATGGCACTTACCCTGCTGGCAGGAGGGAAGGATGGATAGCCTGGGCAAGGCAGATGTTATGTCTCTTCTCCGCATTGATCCCTGCAGCCGGCAGCAGCTCCTTTCGCCCAGCCTGAGGCCGAGCACGCCCTCCCTGCAAACACGCTGGCTGCTGCGACCTCCAGGCCGTGGGTCTCAAGGTCACCTGCAAAGTAAAAAAAGGGGGGGAGGTCTGGTGCATGTGCATGCTTGCAAGTTGTTTTCCCTGCCAAACTGTGTGGCTAGGGGAGGCGGTTGGGAATCGCGGGGTTTTTAAAGCAGGAAAGATCTTCCCATCGTTTCAGCTCCTCTGCACAGAATATATTCAGGGTTTAACCTGCAGCCCCCTTTCCAGGCTCTGGGGTGGTGGGAAGAGCTGCTGAGCCCAAATAATGGCAGCATTTATAAGAGTGTAGAGACAAGAAGGAAGTCTAAAAGGATTAGGGAGAGACAAAGGGGGCTGATTATTTTATGGGTCACAATACAAGGCATTAGAGTGAGATCACAAAGGGATGTAATTACAAAAGAAGGCCATACTGGGGGGATCAAACCAGGATTAGAGTGGGAAATGTTTTTACACAGTTTTGTTCCACTCATTATGAAGTTAGCATTTTAAATTAAGGTTTAAATAAGGTGGCACCAAAGTTGTCACCAAGGTATTTCCTGGGCAGTGCCACTGTTTGGATGCAGATTGCGAGTCTCGGCTCAAAGCATCAAGGCAGACCTTAAACACGTGGGTTCGCAGTTGGTTTTCCTCGTGCGCGTACAGTATCCATATTGTCAGCAGAGCCCTACCTATAGCTTGCGCTTAGATCGAGTGAAGCTGTTTCCGCAGCTGGAGGCGGGATACGTTTGCGATGACACGTTCTAGTGATGTGAAACACGCGCTGGAGGTAAAGGTACGCGTCTACAGCAAGCACCCCGGTGTCAGTTTGCGGCTCTGGAGACGTGGTCGCATTACTCCCAGGAACTTTAGGCTAATGGTCGCTTGCATTTTATTGCTGTTTAACCCCTGGTGTTGCGTGCCAAGTTTCCTCCATCCACAAATAAGATTTTTTTTTTTGTTTTTGTTTTGTAGTTGTGGCTCTGCTTGCGTTTAATGCTCTTTCTTCTCAAACGCTGAGCGCCAGGGCTCAGTTCTGATGCCACTGATGTTTCTTTATTGCCTGAG